ACGTTGCCTCGTCGCCGCGTCTCTCGCTCCGTCTCTCGCTCCCTGTCTCTCCATGCAGACACTGTCAGCGGAGTGCACAGCTGATTATCATCAGCTGTATATTTAAGAGAGGCTCAGACACGCTGACATGGCCAGTTCACTCCATCCTGTTACGCAGTTTGGCTGCAGAAGAGTTTCGTTGCATTGTATATCTCTTCCCTACAACGATCGTCATTCTAACGAGCTCGCGCTTTCCAGCTAGGCTGTTTTCTATAGCACTCACGGCATCAGCAGTCATCCAGATTACTTTGCCAATGAGGCGAGGGAGGGATGTGGCCTTATCTCGTCACATTTCTTTCATGGCATGTGGTCACATAACTCGACCAATGATTAAACAATTTATTCTATCAATATTTTGATATTTTTTTCTGCTTCCTGTTTTGTCAATATTCTATTTACCTTTCACCTTTTTAAGCATTACTTATGAGCCCTCCACTTCTTAAGCTAATTAACTTGTGTGCATAATACAGGCACACATACACACTGAAAAAAAGGAAACACCGGGTCTTTGTAGTTACACAAATTATGCTAGTATATGCAACTCTTGAAATATTTAGCTTTATTTTGAAAATCTTGCCGCATTCAAATGAGTGGGAAAATTCTACTTCAGCATAATTTCAGCTATCAAAATGTGCAGCTCCTCAAGGACATTCATGCTTCTCTTCAGAATTTTTCTAAACTTCAAACTTTTAAAATATTTAGCTTTATTTTGAAAACATTGCCCCACACAAATGAATGGCAAAATTCTACTTTAACATTCTTTCAGCTATTTCAGGTATCAAAATGTTCAGCTCAAGGACATTTATGCTTCTATTCAGAGGTTTTCTAAACTTCATACTTTTGAAATATTTTGCTTTAGTTTGACAATCTTGCCCCAACTGAGATCTGGCCCAACTCTAACCACTTTGTAAATTAAGTTTCCACCTCTTTTAATAAATGTAGTTTACACTTTATTTGCTTTTATTTTTCTCCCATTACTCAATGACCAACTGAATTCATTGTGCTGTTTAGCTTACTGTATAGACACTGATGTTTCAAATTTTCCAGAAGAAAGTACATCTGCATCTGATGTTTAGCTACACAAAGGTTAGTCTTTGGAATATTGTAGTAAAAAGGTACACAGTATAATGATACCAGTGAGAATTTCTTCTGCCACAACTGTTCTAAAAGTACTAGGTATCTACACTTGCATGTTGCTACTTTTTGCTCCATGTAACTGTTGCTTTTAATTTGCCTTTAATGCTTTAGTCTAATTTGCACCTGAATGTTTTATCTGTGCGCATTTCATATGCATTTTAATGTTGTATATATTTGTGTTCATTGTGTTAGGCTCTTAATGGCCTTTGTATGTGAAAATATGCTATATAAATAAACTTGTCTTCTGTTTTGAATGTCTTTTCAACTTTTTTCTTTGTTTAGTTCCTCAACTAATTGCTGCGGGGTAGGGCACATATGCGGGCTAATATATAGAGCGGAGAATATTAGCCCAACTGAGTCGAATTTGGAAGGAAAACATGAAGACCAAATGGTGTCAGTGAAAAATGCATAATGCGGAACTCACTGTCTCCGGATCTGCGGAACATAAATAATCTATGGATGCTTGTTACTTTTTGTGTTTTCTTTAACACTAAAGGGTTACTATGTACAATGACACTGGAGCGAACTAATGAGCTGACAGTCTGCATGTTGCTGAGGTGTGGGCTTTGAGTGATAATGGCGGTGAACTGGGCCGAGAGAATCTCTGCTTTCTCCCGCAGTCCCTCTCGCTTCCTCTCCGGGACAACTGCGGAGGCTTTCTTGGCAGAGCTGGTCCGTGAGCTCCGAGATGACAGAGCCAGTTACAGTGTAAAGGTAAACACCAAAAATGTGTATGTAGTGAACTTTACAGGCCGTGAAAGGAGGTATTACCCGAAAGAAAAATTCTAATAATTAAAGTGCTAGATTTATGTATTAAAATCCATGTTTAGTATAAAATCCCTTATTTTGCCAAGTGTTCAGCTGCCACCACTAAATTGCCACTCTTTAAAATGGCGTTGCACGAGCAAATTATGTGGTTTAAATATGTATAAATGCAGATATAAAAAGATGATATATTTTGTCATATATGAAAATGTATTTAATTTCTTATCAAGTCTTCAGTGTTAGTAAAACTGAATCTCTTTGGGTTTTGGACCGCTGCTCTGACAGAACAATTTCAAGATGAGAGATGGGTATTTTTCAGTATTTTCTATAGTATTTAACTTACAATATATTGAGTATAGTAATTGCAATAGTTGTTTGTACAATGTAATGCATACTACTGTTTCTGGTATCTAGTCTTGCTAACACTGACAGATCTTTAATTCTTGTCTTTGACCCCTCTCAGGTCCTCCTGTTGTCCCCATTATGTGAGTCCCCGATTCTGCTGTGTCCCTCAGACTCAGTGGGTGAGGAGACAGCCCTGGAGCTCATGTCAGTATTTGCCCAGTGTCCTCCCAAATTCGTCGACTTTCGTTGTCACCTCCTCCTGGCCCTTACCTCTGTGCTCCTCTGCAGTTCCTGCATGAGCAGCTGTTCCTGTGCATCTCAAGACTTCCTAGACCTGCTTCTTGAGATAGCCCAGGATATCAGTGACATCCATGGAGATGGTTCTCTTCGCTCTTTACAGGCCACAGCTTGTGACTGTCTGCGGGAGCTGGAGGCCTGCTGCCCAGGGATTCTGTCCCAGCGTCTGGAGCTCCTGGGTGCGCTCCGGCAGCGAGAAACTTCCAGGCTCCACCAGGCCTATGCAGGACTTCACACTTTGGTGTTGAGAAATGCCGTGTATCAGCTCACTCAGGAAGCAGGGGCTGGTGCTGAACATCTTAAGGCTCTTCTGGGAGGGAATACATCATTTGCATGGGAAGCAGACCAGGACTCAGGACTGATGAATAAGAAAGACTCAGCCATACTGTCGTCTGTCATCTTGGGACCTGTGGGTACAGTGCCGACCCTCCAGACTGGGCCTGATTGTAAGGAGTTACGTTCAGTCCTATCCTCACTCTTGGAGGAGTCCTACCTCCTCACCCCTCTGTGTCAGGCTGCACTGCTGCACAGACTGACAGAGGTGGTTGCCATGGTGCCTGGTGTCCCCCCTGCCATATTCAGAGCACAGCTGCTGCGGCTGCTGGGCACTAGTGAGGTTTGTGTCAAATGGAAGCATAAAAAAGCATTCAGACTTCTCTGAATACTTGTTGCTGTTTATGAGTAGTTCATGTATAAAAAAATACAGTATTTTCCCACTATTTCTGGTGACATTTAGAATTTAACTCCCACAAAAATACAGTGATTGTGCATGGAATTTAGAAACTGCTTCTGTACGTACATTGGCACACCAAATGTACAGCACAATCAGTTTTTCGCATGACAGCATAGCACATTAACTCGATGAGGAATTTTGAGGTCTTCTGGTTGTCACACTAAGAGCTGGTCACCTGCAGCTCTTTCTCACTGTGGCTGCTCCTGCTTGTTGTTTTACTCCCTTGAAAGTATTAAAATGATCATCAGATGAAAAGTGCAGCAGTTGGCTTGTTTTCTAGAGGCATTTTAAATAATCAGTAGCAGGTAGCATGAATGTTGGTGACCAATGTATTGCATTTCTTGTATTGGTTTCACAAGAAATGTCTTCTCATGTTTTAAGGTGAAGCAGATGTAGTAGGAAATGTTTGGTTTGCATTAACAGTGTTTGTGACTGTTATTTAAATACTGAGGCAAATTTTGAGAGTAACAAAACTTACTACAGTGTATAGAAATGTAATAACCACGGGCAAGGGCAGGGGTTATGTTTCTACTGGTGTTTGTTTGTGTGTTTGTTAACAGCATAACTCAAAGTGTTGTCTAGGCTTCAGGTGTAGCTTCAGAATGGGTGGTGGCAGACAGGAAAGATTTGGATGAAATTTTTTGGAAAGGTAGGGTATGCACCTCGAAACAATTGATTAGATTTTGGTGCTGACCCGTTTCATAATTTGGATACGGGAATATTTTAAAAGATTATTCACTATTGTGAGTGCTGGAAAGGTTACTCGACTCTATATGAGCCCCCTTGTGGCCAAAATGGGCAGCTGTGCTGCTGAGCACTCCAAGCACATATGGAGACAAATCCCTGGGTTCATGACAGCTGCCTGTTCATTGTCAATGAAAACCGAGCGCTGTCACTCAGTACACCCCGCTGTGTGAGACAGGGACTGAAGGAACCCATCTAGGTGACAAACCAGAGATAGGGAAAGCTCTACACTATGCAGCCAGGTGAGAAGAAAGAACTGGTTCCACCTCAGGCACTGGCTCTGAACCTACAACTGCCTTGGTGGAAAGGGGGTATTTGAGGACACATTGCATTTCATTGTGGTCATCTTGTGTCTTTTTGAGGACATTCTAATTTCCCTGTAGATGTTGTTATATGTTTGTGGCACTTGAGTGTCTCTTTCTGGAATATTTTGCAGGCAGGCTCCATGGTCCCCCTTGGGCCTTTGGGCCTAATCCTGGTAGGCCCGTTCAATAATCCATCAATGCATATGGGTACGGTGTGAAAATTCCCAACTTTGTAGTCCCCCTCAGTGTCACACCACAAGATGAATCAATACTCTACCAGTTTGCATCAGGAGAACCTAATTTTTCTCAAACAAAAACTGTTGTAATTAAATGTAATTAAATTGAAAGTGTACACATAGCAGCTTTAAGATAATCCGTACAGTTTCTACATAATGAGAATTCCTCACTCAAAGTAAATCCCTGTCCATCTCCTTTCAGGTTTGTCTTCTCCACTCCATTCTGATGATGAAGTGTGCATTCACAGACAGCCTGTTCAGTGCTGAGGATGAAGCTTTCATCCTCAAACGTCTGGTTGTACTCTCCCAGCACCCGCTGCTGAACACCCCCCCAAAGCTTTTCTACATGGACTGTCTCCTGCACTTTCCTGAGAACCGTCCAATCAACTGCAGCGACGGTGACGAGACGCTCCCTGTGCTGCTGACTCCCCAGTTGGCCTCAGCTCTGGTGCCCACTGTGTTCAACGACAGCACCACCATGCTGACCCGCTTCAACCTGCTGTGTCTGGTCTACCTGGAGGAGGCGGAGGAAGGGGTAGGAGAGGACGGCAGGGGGCTGGCCTACCTCTACGAACACCTCACCTCACTGATGCACATTGTGGAGCACGGAGGTAGCAGAGAGATTGTCGTCACCTTCTTTAGAGCTGCCTTCCTCTTCCTTTCTTACTTTTTCTATGTGGAGCGCTACTCTAACAGCCTGACTGACAAGCTTTGTGAGCTCTACTTTCACCACACCCAGCTGGCCCCCCACCTCATCAACCTGGCTGATCAGACTCAGGACAGACTGTCTGGTTCTACCTGGGGGGTGGGGCTCCTGAAAGCCCTGCAGAGAGCCATCACAGAGGCTCCACTCTCCCAGCTGACCGTGCACGACCTCCGCTGGCACCTCAAGATGCTGGCTCGAGTGGCAGAGGAGGGAGAAATCCCCCAGCAGAACACCCTCAACTTCCTGTCCTGCATTATTACTCCATCATCCTCCTCACTGTGCGTGAGCAGCGGTTGGCGTCTGGGGAACAGTGTGCTGGGGGTTTGCCGCCGCCTGCTCATCCACCCAAGCCTGGACTTGCTGCTCATCCCTCTGGCTGACATCCTGCAACATCTCACCTGTCACTATGGTGACACAGACATCCAGGACCATGCCCGCCTCTACTACACCCTCCTTACCACGCTCTCCCGTGAGAAGCTGGCCAGTGTGTTGATGCAGGGTGAGATCCAAGGAGGGCAACAGGTCAAGAAGCAGTCGCTATCGTGCATCATGGCCGAGAGCGAGGGTCTGACAGCCATGTTAACCGTTCATCAGACAGAGAGAGCCATATTCAAGCTTGTTGAGGTGAATTCTGAGTTAGAAGAAAAAATGCAAGCCGATCACGAAAGCGACTTAAACCCAAATGAGACGGACACCTGTCCAGATGAGGCGACTGCAGCAGTGGGAGCCTACAGAGCTCAGTTCAACGACCCTGACTTCGCCTCAGAGATCACCCTAAACTTCCAGCTGACTCACATTGGAGCTCATGACTTCCGCTTTGATCAGCTCTTCAGCATCCACCTGCACTTCAGCCTCATGGATGATCACTACGAAGAACTGAGTGACATCAGTGTTCCATGTCTCTTCAGAGAGAGGCCACCACCTGTTGTGAAGCTACACCTGAAGCCTAGACGACCCTACCCTACCACTCTCTGTGCCAGTGCCATCTTTACCACCCAGGATGGGCTCTCCTGGCACACCAACCTGCCTGATATCCATGTGGATTTCCAGCAGGTGTTCATGCCTCTGCCTGCTCCGCAGGCCTGGGGACGGGCCAGCAAACTGTGCCTGTTCGAGGGGTTATGGGATGAAATGTGCCAGGAGAGCAGGGAGAACGATTGCGCTACCAGTCGGTTCTGCTGCCAGCTGAAGGAGGCGGCTCTTTTAGCCTTGGTGGAGAAACGCTTTCTCCCTTTTCTTGTGTCAGATCTCTCCACCAACAAAGAGTTGAAAGTGCTTTTATTCCTCCCTCCACAGTCTCACGTGCTGCTGAAGATCAGGTCCGAGGAAGATGCCGTGCACTTCGACATTGCCACAGATAACTGGCAACTTCTGTCTCATATAGGTTCTTATCTACTGACAATCACATCTTCACAGGAAGACATGCAAAGCTGACTGTGATGCATCTTACTGGCTTGTTTTTAAATTTAAAAAGTACAGGCTTTTAACAAAATCATTCAATTGTTGTCCACTGCTTAATAATAACTGCAATTTGACTTGAAATAAAATAACCAAAGACAGCTGAGTTAGGCATAAATTGCACTTTATTTTTCCTTGATCTGAAATTAAACCTGTATATGAAATTCAATATTTTGTCATTTATTTACCAAGTACAGTTACTGGCTCATTAAAAGACAAAATAGGCCTACATCATGTACTGTGATAGATTGCTCAACAGAAATTGTTCTTCCCCCTTTATAAAAATAAGGCTCTAAAAAATTAAGAATCCATGAACAAAACTGCATGTGAACTATAGGACACAAAGGTACCCTGTGTAATGTGGTTCTGCAAGTGGGTCCCTAGTTTGTTTTTGTTTTTTTAATCAAATGTACATGTGCTCTGTGTCAGGCTGTTCTGCTTCCACTCGTGGTAGCAGGCCAACAAAGGCAGTGAGCAAAACATGGATAGAAATATGATGCAAGTCAAGTCAAAGTGTTTATTTGTCATATGCACAGTTAGGAAACGTGTTTCCCTGTACAATGAAATTCTTACTTTGCCGTCCACATGAATGCCACACAATACAAATGAAATATAAAGTAGATACATAAGTAACACAAAATCTAAGGCACTTTAAGCAGCAAATGCATCAATATAAAAATATGCAGGGGCAGTTTTAATTTTTTAATCATTTTTTGTGATGATTGTTGATATAATCAACTGAATCTGAGGTCAGACAGTGGTGATAAAGGCTTTTAAGCAAAGGATTTAAAAAATGTATTTGATAAGCATCCACACACAGTTTGCCTGCCTAGCCCAGAGTAAGTGGATAGAAGATATGCTGAAGGGTCAAAAATGGCAGCAGGTCACATGACTTGTGTAGCTTCAAATAGTCTCACACAAGCGATTAAGATTCATTGTTTTCTGTAGGGAACAGTAGGATTTATCAGTTGTTAAGACAGCAGCCAAGTCAGTGTAACTCTATGGCACTGCTCCTAATGTTTGGAACTACTCAATGTTCGCATGATCCGCCATTACTGTCAAAACAAACAACAAAAATAAAAATGGTCCTTAAGAGCCAGTGGAGATGTCGTCACTCCTTAATCCGAGCCGCTCTGATACATGAATTTTTTTAAAAGCCTCCTGGAAGTTGTGATTGTATACATAAACTCTATATAGTTCAGTCACTTAAAATGTTATGTGTAATGTTTCAATATCAGCAGTTCAACCCATGTATGCATTTTTCTTAGTTCAAACTGATGTCCATTAAGAATACAACCAGCCTCCAACATGTGTCCTTCATAAAATACCAGTCCTTGATTCAGTCCAGGGTCAGCAGGCCTTTAATCAGAGAGACCCCTGAAGTTGGGCTCTGTGTGAGATGGTAAAGCTGTCTGCTGGCTGAGAAGTTTGTCCATGATGGCAGTCTCTGCATCCCTCTTCTCCACCTCGTCTATGGGGGTCCATGACATGTCGTGTTGAAGTTTGAATGCACCGACAAATGGGTGAGGGCAACTTGGGCCCCATTCCTTTAGAGAAGAGGGGAAAGTGGAAATGTCATGATGACAACAGTGACCTGTAGTACAGTCAGAACAATCAGCTTACGGTCAGTTCACAAACCTATATGATGCTAGTTAAACCAGAATATGTGCAGTGTCTTTTGGCCTCTTTCTTACAGTACATATGCTGGCATACTCAGTACATGTACAGTATATTCTCTCTGGTTTGGAAGACTTTTTTTTTATAAGATACATATTAACAAAGCAGCAAAAATGTAAAAAAAATGAACTATTC